CGGATACAACAACCTGACACTTACTACGTCATAAAGACATGACAGATACAACAACCTGACACTTATTACGTCATAAAGACATGACAGACACAACAGCCTGACACTTACTACGTCATAAAGACATGACAGACACAACAACCTGACACTTACTCCGTCATAACGACATGGCGGGTACAACAACCTGACACTTATTACGTCATAAAGCCATGACAGACACAACAGCCTGACACTTACTTCGTCATAAAGGCATGACAGATGCAACAACCTGACACTTACTATGTCATAAAGACATGGCATATACCATGACAGATACAACAACCGGACACTTACTACGTCATAAAGGCATGACAGATACAACAACCTGACACTTACTACGTCATAAAGACATGGCATATACAACAGCCTGACACTTACTACGTCATAAAGACATGACAGATACAACAATCGGACACTTACTACGTCATAAAGACATGACAAATACAACAACCTGACACTTACTACGTCATAAAGACATGACGGATGCAAGAATAACTTTATAACGGCAACACCAGTACATTATCGAATCAATTATCAAAACCACCTGACAGTAGTTACAGACAACTATCTGATCTAAAAGACAATTTATCTGAACCCATCCCATAATGAGAAAGTGAGTGTAAAACTGCGTCGCAATAATCTCATTTTAATTTCTTTGCCTTATGTATCAACAACTCTCTCACCTCTTACCTTAAGTAAGAAGTGACGAGTCGAATTACCTAACCTTTATCATAGTCTCACCAAAACAAAACAATGTGTTGACACTTTGGTATTATAACACTATTGAACAAACTTTACCTCCACATTTGCATCCGGCCTTACAGTTAGGACAAGTGCATGCGGCGCTGCACTTACAGCCACACCCGCACGCAGCTCCCATCTGACAAATTCCATCGGGACAGTTCGCACTCTTCGCAGCTTGTTTAGAAACACAATGTACACAATAAGCTAATTTTCTACACTTTACATTAAGCTAATTAGTTTGGAAAAAAAGCTTCCCAGTTATGTTTTGTATGACGTAGGTAAAATAATATTTGCATCATTCTGCAGAGCACGAAGTTCCATTTTATATGACCTTTCTTAATCATAGCATTACATGTAGAAGTTTTACCATAACGTACAAGCATTGTGTGTATTATACAATCCTCATGAGGCAGATGTATGACAGAGTAGTCCTTTTAAAACTATGACAGAATTGTAACATTAACATTTTATATCGTGATGTGTCTGTTACATGTGGCATAACATTTGTGATTTACTATTAAAAATAAAACATTTATGCTTTTTGAATTTACTTTTACAAATAAACATTATATTTAAGTCTTACTAAAACTTACAGAAGCAACCGCAGTTGACCTTACATCCGGGACATCTACAGTTGGTGCTACAGCAAGCCGAACCTGTACAGCCACACCTTCCGCCCGGACACTTGGCACAGAACGAGGCTGTGGGGGATGTAAATAACAACAGACCAATGTAATTCATCTTACATGTCTTCGTAGTGATCTCTGATAGAATAATTTCAACAATGAAGTAAATTTAAGTTGGATTGAAATTCAAAGTAAACAAACGGCTTTTACGGTTTTTTGTTTTAATGTTGGGTGTGGTTAGTTTATTCAAAAATGAATACAAAGTATGCCAAATTGAATTGTTTGTGATTAGAATATCTTTGGATAAGACATCTTTCAGTTCAACGAAAAAGATAAGTGTGGAACTCCGATTACATTCGAGACTTTACCGGAATGAGAAAGTGAAGAATGGTATTGGAAAAGTGAATAGTAGAAAAATATTCTTGACAATGATAATGTAAAAGTACTGGGAACATAAGGATATAATATGTAACAAACAAAATATAGGAAGATGAAAAAAAGGCAGGCAACATCATTGATGTCTTAAAGAAAAATTCTCCCACTTGAAGTGTAATTGTCATTGTGTACATATGAAACAAACACAAGTACTTTGGCAGAAAAAGCCAATAAAATAAATACATTGAAAGGTAGAAAGTGAATTGTGATATAGTTCATTAGCTGCTGGAATAACAAATGACACAATTAATCGTAAGCTAGACGATAATCAATTACCAAATACATAAAAATGATAAATTACCAGGACCTGGCAAGGAGAATGTGAATAGTAATATTTCGTTGATTTTAATTCAATTTAATCAAACAATTAACAAAAAGGTTTATTGGAGAATACGAAATAGGGGAAATATTGAATATTGTAATCAGGAATGAAAGTTGGATTCGAATTTGTAAAAATGTCAAAGTTGGATTCGAATTTGTAAAAATGTCATTCTTTATAAATGTTTAAAAAGGAAACAAAAAATACCTTATTTTGGAGAATTTATCCTGTATTTCAACTGTAAAAGTGTTTTTCTTTTTTTTCTATAAATACTCCTTAATTTAGAAAAAAATGTGATATGGAGTGTGACTAAAGTTGCTATTTGCCATTTGTGATCAGATTTTGTACGTTAAGATTAATTTTGGTATCTGCTAATATGAAAAGCCATTACAAATTCAATAAAATCAAAATCTGAATGCCAATTTATTAAAATGTTGACCGCAAAAGATGTTTAAAATATGTATTATTCATAACTGCAAGTATATTATTAAGTGTACACTGTTATTGAGGAGGCTGTCTTGTGGGATTTTCAAAAAATATAAATAAAAAATTGACGCATATTTCATTCTTTTGACTACAGTGCTACTGTTTATATAATGGAGGAAGCTTTGACTTTTGTTAGGATTTCATTATTAGCAAAATGTTTTTCTAGTGATTATTTCACAGAAGATTTCGACTTTGCACCAAGATATTTGTGATCTCGAATATGTTCACAGGTAAATAAAAAAATAATGTTTTAACATATTTTTGAAATTGAATTGTTCAGCATTTTGATTTAGTTGTAAAACAATTAGCAACTTACCTGCGACTGTTGACATCTTGGCTTCTAAAACAATTTTTGAGTCCTCTCAAAACGACGTAGGTAACTGGTGTTTATCTTTTAACCTTTTGGAAAATGTGACTATATTTATAGAAAATGGGACATTACGTGTGCAAAATCTAATCGTGTGCACTAAGGACAATAAACGTGAATAGTAAGGGCCATGTGCAAAATTTGTGTGAAAGTGGCTGTTAGCAAAAGTAGAACGGAGTGCAAATTAAACAGATTAGGAAAAGGGAATGTGCACACGACTTACGGCTGATGACGTCTAACATACTTTTATCGCCAATTGAAACTTACATTCAGCCTTTTGGTACCAGGATTTTGCGACATTTATTCGCGGTTGTTATCATTACTTAAGCGCTGTTTACACTTATTGGACCAAATGACCAGTAACACACTGGTCACTTGAATTTCTGAATTCACGATCTGTTCAAAAGCATTACAATGAAAGCTGCAATCATAATTATCATGGAAATATTTGCGCATATCCATTTTTTCAACCTTTTTTTATTGTGTTTTTTATCACATATTTATTCTGAATACATCTGTTTTGTTAGGTCAAGAATGAATGGTATTTCCTTCATCCTTCAGAAATTAAACATTCCAGACGACAGGCTTTCGCGTTTTGTCACCTTCATATCCTGACGCTCGCTACTGATATGAAAATATTATCACTGCTAAGTCGGTGATGAATGTAACGCTATTTACTGTCACTTTTGTTTTATAAACGTTCGTTTTCTAATTTGTAAAATACATCTCATCATATATTTTTCTAATTCAAAATTAGAGAAAATATCCATATTTATAAAGGTAATAATGTTATCTTAAAGACTTGTGTTCTTAAAATTACATAAATGTCAAGAACATGTGTTATTGAAAATAACATAAATGTCACAATGTTTCATAGAATCAGTCTTTAATTAAGTACACAAATTTGTATAACTGATAGGAATATTAGTGACCAATAGCCGAACAAAATATCTTAGACTTACCTGATAACATCTACCTTATAATAGCGTCCCACCAAAATTGATGAATTTTATTACAATTATTCAAATGTCCTTAGGCACTTCAAGCTTTAATAGAGTTATGATATAATAGAGTTCATTTAATAATTATCAGTTTGTCAACGTCTTTATTTAGCTGTATAGCATAAATTTATTTCTCTTATTTGGTTAAATAATATTTAATTAATTAATAGTGTTCTGTTAGTTATTAAGACAAACACTTCATCAACAGCGTCAGACATTCGTGCTTTTCCTGAATGTGTACACACTAACAGGCAAGATAAGTAAACATGGTTAAAATGAATGTTGAACTGTTGAACAATACCTGATTACTTGGACCAACACAGGTTAGACAGTATTGACAGACATGCATTCCAGTAAACAGTATACTATTTTATTTTATATTTTTTTTATTTTGTTTTGATTAGGATAGGTGATACTGACAACATGAAAATAATTTGCTACGACCTTTAAAAATTCCTTTCAACACGTTTACCAGTATATTAATCAAAGAGAATGCATATTAATGGACTTATTCTTTTATACTAATTAAAAATAAAAAATGTTATCGTTCTGATGTCATATCATATGCGTTTAGATGTTTCCCTATTGACTTAAGATTTTAAAATTAAAATCTAAATAATGACAGTTTCCAAAGTTGGAGGTTGATAAAAACTATGGTCGCCGTCGGAATCTCGCAGGGAAATATGCTATTTCTTTGTGTGATATGAAGATCAATGTTTTTTAATATGTTCATTTTAGTGCCTTATTGTTTGGTGTTACTACCGGAATTGTCAATGCGAGGACGTGACATTACCTAGATTCGACTTACATTTACATGACGGGTGTCATCGAAGAAGCAGAAGACGCTTACCGTTCAGGAACTCTTGGTCTAATTCTCCTTATACGTTTTCAAAGGTCGTCATATGAATCTTTCCTTTGTTCATATTTTACCCTAGTTTAATTGATTTTGAGTTCGTATAAATAGCTTTCGCAACCAATAAGACATATGAGCAGATGTATGTTACAAATGCGCCGAAAATTATTGTTTTGAGTTTGTTTTTGTAAGATAATGTTACATTTGTTAAAATAAATGAAAGTGTTATTACGTAAGCAGCATTCTATTTGTATTTATGATATTGTTTTCGGTTTTGTAATTTACCAAATTAAGAATAACAACAGCAATACAGACAACACACTATTATGGTTTCAATCACACGGAGAAGGTCAAAGACAGAAATTTGCACACGACATTTTGTCGGTTACCTCTATTGAACATATTTTCATCACTAAGTGAAATACACATTCAGCCTACAGATACCAGGGCGTGCCAACCCGTATTATGTTGCAGATACATTTAAGGTTGTTGTTACGTTTCTAGGTTGTTGTTACGTGATAAGCACTCTTTACAGGGTATACACTAGTTCTCCAATTGACCAGCTACTGACCCTTTACTGAAAGAAATATGCCTATGAGTGAAGGCATACAAAAGGCGTAATTCCTCATATTATTATAAACATTATTTTATGTTTCAATATTTGTTATATTTTCGTAGTTTTGTGACATATTTGTTATACCATATTCTTTTACAACATATAGTGATTAACAGTATTAATGTTAATGAAATGTTATGCTACTCACTCATGGTGTATTACCGTCTGCATGTGAATATATTTATGAATGCTTACTGATCCAATTACTTATCAGTATCAATAAATGATGTTCATTATTTTCTGTTTTTTGATATTAAAAAAAGTTATCCAATTCAAAACTGCGTCAATTTTCTTGCGGTTAATGCGCTATGTTAGTGTTATGAATTCTTTTTTGTCAATTCTTTGCTATTAACTATTGAATTGAATGAATTGTGTAATGTAAAATATGCAGTATGTGGTAACTTTTGATTAAAACGTCATATGAAAGGGTTTGACATTGTCTTTTCAACGTTAAGTCATCGTTTGACCCATTATACAAAATAGTAATAAACCAATTTTGCCAACCCAAGGTCGGGGATTGAGGAAAGAATACACCTGCTGTTAACCACTGCATGTATCGTAAGAGGCGACTTATGTGGCCTGGTGACTATCTTATTTTTCCGATCAGCCATAAAATGAAAAAGAAACAACTATAGACCACGGGTCCCGGTATTTTCGGAAATTCACCTCCCTATTTTGTTCAGGGATATCCTGATGAATGACATGCGGTAAAACTTAGGTTAAACTTTGACCGAAAGTGGGTTTCTTTGGGTATCAAAAGGGGTAGGGTAAATCACAAATATAGTTTGCTGTTTTCAAAATGAACTTAAAAACCAAAATAATACCATTTATGTTTTTGAAAACATATATAAATTAGACAAGCATATGTAACAGAATGAAAAATGACAGAAATACAATCGTCACTTACAGATTGTTTATATCAAACGAAGGATTAAGACAGGGGGTTGTTTTAGGTAATTTCCAAATGAAAAGTGTTTTGATTTCTCAATAATTTCCTTTCTAAATAATATTTTGACTTGAAATTTACAACTTTACTCATTTAAGTAGACTTACATAAGTTGCATATTGACTACATACTTTCCTTCTGTTTTATACGGAGTTATGTCTTCTGGACACATAGCAAACTTGGCTATTTCAAATATTTCTCAATTTTAAGTGAATTAAAAAGTGCAGGACGCCCTTTATATACTATAAGTATAAGATATTAAATGTTATTATTGTATATTATATATATCAAATAATATTTGCTCAACACCTGTGCCTGAAGTGAATTCCAGGTCCTGATTTGTTTTTTTACTTATCAAAGTTAACTTACTAATTAAAAATGGCATTTGCCACAACTACTGTAAAATGATCGATTTAATATGTTAAGTTTGATTTGCTGGTAATTTTAAGTGTCCTTGTATGTTAAAATATTATCCTTTTTGGAATTACCTACCGCCCATCCTGTTATGGTAATTATTGTTCTGTGACAATGCTATATTTGTATCCATCAGAGACCGCGTGAAAGTCGCATGATGATCGAAATATGATAATTTTCTAGGTAAATACGTCTGGAATTGAAACCGGCGTTACGGGTTACTAAAACAAGCCTCCGCCAGGAGTAGAACCAGATGTCCTTGAAATAGGTTTATTCCAACAAAATGCTATGATTATTTGATGCATTAAATACGTATCAGGTTGAAAAGTTTATTCATAAAATCGATGTGGGGAGTTGAGGGTGGGGGACTGGAGTTGTTTTGGGGAAAAATAGCAGATGGCAGATAAATGTTTCATGGAGGGATATACATGTAAGTATTTAATTGGGAAATGTATTTCGCGTTTATATTAAATGTTAGATAGGAATTGTTTAATTCTTTTTAGATATTTCATGATTATATGTACTTTAGGGGGAAGATAGGTAGTTAAAGACTTGTTAAATATGTGTTGATTTGTATTTAATGACTATTGTATAATATAAAGGTGATCTATGGGGAGAGGGGATGTAGATTATGGCTTCTGTTCAGGGTAGATAGTTATTCAATTAAAATAGATAAGTATTTTAAATAGTTAGCTAGGTTTTCATGACCACTGTACATGATAGATGGGTAATTGTATGGCGTAGATATGACTTTTATGATGTAAATAAGTATTTAATGGGGTAAATAGATATTTCATTTGGTAGATAAATATGGTAGACAGGTATTTTATAAGGGTAGATACGTACAGTATATATTTTTTTATAAAATGAGGGTATGTAAGTATTAATTTTAGGTTTGATAGATATTTTATGGGAACGGATAGTTATTTGAGGATAGGAAGATAGACATTTATGGTAGATAGATAGGAAGGGGTAGATTGGATAAATTCATATTTACAACTGAACAATAAGGTTGATAGATATGTTATTGGAGTTAATTGGTATTTATGTCTACAAGTATTTTTATGGGGGAGAATAGTTTTTTTATGAAGATACATAATTTTAAGAGTATAGATAGGTAACCTATTCCTATCAGTAAGAATTAAATGGTTATATTAGTACTTACCTCCCATGAATAGGTGATTAAATACATCTTTATACCCACATTAATTACAATGACAAAAATTACAATAATACTCATCTACCCCTTTTAATTCCTATCGGTCGGAGTAAATTACCTATCAATCCCCATAAATACTTACTGAACAATAATCTGCCCTCGTGAAATATTATCTACCTCCATACAATATTTATTTATTCACTACAATAAAAAAAAAGATCTTCTTATGATATTTGCCCACGCTTCCTATTTAGAAACATGTATATATATCTAAGGCAATAAAATTAATATATAAACATTAAAAAGCAGGCGTTCTTCTCTACATGAATGTATGTAATGAATAATAGGTATATTCAATTTCTGATATCAATAAAACATATATCAATGAATAGGAGAGTTTAAATAATAAAATTAGGTTTCATTCATAAGTTAACAATGAATTATAAGATAGATAACTATTATGCAATTTTTATTGATCTGATGAACATTAATCCTGAGTAACTGGGCTCTCAGTATAGCACTAGATTTTAGATAACGTGTGTTGGTCACCTGGTAAAATCAGCCTCTAGGATTACCTCAACAAAAATGTAACATCCTGTGTATTACCTGGACTGACACACATGAATCTTGTGTTACATGCTAGATAATTTATATGGCGCCGGTGTTACATGACACTAGTACATTTCTCCGCTAGGAGTCGAACCCATTACTACAATCAACTAGCCCATTCCTTTGGAAGGAGACAAACCCCGTTATTACAGTTTACTAATGTCCATGTCTCCACCAGGAATACAACTATAGATAGTATTTTAATTACCAGCTCATCATGTGTTTCTTTCTGTTTTAAAATTACTCTGTATAACACCTGTATTAGTAGGCCGTTATATTGACCACCAGGACGTAGGTTTGGATTCCACTCTCTGATGGATGTAGTTTCGTTCTTGAGCAAGACATTTGATCCTTACCCATTCCTATAATTCAAACGAAGCTGCCTGAATGGACACTTGTTTTGACTGGAGTGTGAATTATGGTTTGTGTGCTGTAGTATTCCAGTGGTATTAAATGTGACACAATTAAATAGTATATTAAGTGAAGCGAATACCATATGTAATCTCGAGTTACAAATGATTTACCAAAACAGAATACAAATGAATAACAAAGAGGAATATAAAAGTTTATACCATGATTTATTTTCATTAATATTTAATAAAACAAAGCTCCAAGAAGAAAATCAGAACTGAATAAAAAGGCAAATTAGTAATGATTACTCCATATTAAAGTCACCAGTTGATAGGTAAGAATGTATTTCACAATCACGAATAAATTTATTTCAATAATAAGTTAAAAACGTTTTTCACGAAATTCCGCAAACAGTGTGACGGTCCATTAAATGTAGTTTGTGGATGTTCTCATGATGCCACCGCTTACTGCTTACAGGTGCAATCAGGAGCACAATTGCAGGTGCTTGGTCCAGTACAGCCTGCATCGCACGAGCAAGCCTCTGAAATGTCAGATATGGGATTATTGTAGAATGAGTTCAGTATTTCCAGTATGACTTACACTTTCTGTTTAATCGTTTATATATATAAACACACACACATATATATATATACTAGACGACTCTAAACAAGGTCTACTCAAAATAAGGTTGCAGCAGCTTCAATATTTGACATAACAATAGGTGACACTTCAACTGCTTACTCACTGTCATTCTATAAATGAAATATTTTATAAAAATGTCCATCTTATTTTTAAAGACATATTCTTGCATAACCTGTTTTTGCCTATTTACAAAACAATAGTTCAGATACCTACCAGTTGCGCAGTTACACTTGCACTTTGGGCATGCGCACTTGCCATCACACTGGCAGTCTGCGGTTCCGCAACATTGTCCTGATATGCTTTCCACGGAACACACGAAGTTGGCGCCTGACAGAAAAGACGTAACATTGAACATAAGCACAAAGTAAGATTTGATGTATGTATCACCCCTATCACAGTCTGTTTAGTATTATCGTGTGTATATGTAATAAAGCAACGGTCAATACAGAATGTAAATACAAGTTTTCCTATTTATTCCTGAACCGTACCAATGGAAATAGTATTAAACAGTCAAAGCATCAGCCCAACTTTCAATCATAAGAAAAATGCAGCTAACACAACCGTGACTCCGACATTATGTCTTCCACCATTTAATATCTCAATTATCTAAATATACCGCGGGTACTGCTTAACGAAAGAAGTTAAAGATGGTTTTAGCTAACCGCTCACACACTTCAAGTAGTGCCTTTACTTTGAAAATAAATATCCATATATTCCCAACAATCTAACATACTTCATAGTGGCGTTTCTACATCTATTAACAGCAAGTATGAATGTATAAAACTGTCTCCAACCTAGTTTAACAGAGTACTGACGGAAAATAGTAGCACAAAAAACAAAAGACCATTGATCAATTTGTAGCCAAATATTGATACTAATTGAAATGTGGACAACTTAGATATTGGTTATAACTATTCTGTTTGGATACTGCGATGAAATAACAATGTGAAACATTCATTACCTCCACATTTGCATCCGGCCTTACAGTTAGAACACTGGCATGCATCACTGCACTTGCAACCGCACCCGCACGCGCGCCCTATCTGACAAATTCCGTCAGGACAGGTCGCATTCTTTGCCGCTTATTAAGAAAAATAACGTACATCATTAATATATTTAACTAAACGGTACATTTAATGATTGAAACCAAATAATTCGTTTCCCATGTCTGTGTTAATATGCTAGTGTAAGGTAGTGTGATGATTGTAGTACATTTATATGCGTTATCATTATATTAAAGATGGGTGCAATACCACCACTGACACATTGAAAAGGAACCAATTGATAATATTTATTCTGCTGCTAGCATTTCAATATTAAACGTTTTAAACTGAATTGATGTCTTCGAGTTTGTTTAACAAATGACAGTTTTAAAAAAACTTTCCGAAGCATGCGCATTTGACCTTACATCCAGAGCATCTACAGTTGGTGTTACAGCAGGTCGCACCAGCACAGTCACAACTACCACTCGTACACTTGGCGCAGCACGAGGCTGTGGGGGATTGAAATTAATGCCAATATAATTTATCCGTTTGTTATTTGGCAAATTTTGTTTTTGTATTTGATTGCTAATAATACTAATTTTACAGAATGTATTAAGCCTATTTAATCGATATCTAAAAATTCCATTGATCAATAACGTTAATTGTAAGTAAATTCAATACTGAGATGAACAATCGTCTAAATCGCTTTTTTGTTTTTTGTTTGTTTTTATATTTACAAGCTGATCACATAGATCACATAGATCACATAGATCAAATAAGTTCCAATATTCATGTATTACATGTTTAGACAACTAAAGACAAGACACTTACCAGATGCACAATCGCATCTGCACTTTGAGCATGCAGACTTGCAGTTGCAGGAGCAGGTCCTAGTTCCACAACATCCTGACTGGCACTTCATGGAACACACGAGGTTTGCACCTGACACAAAGGATATTTGAACTTAGAATTCTTGTTTTTGTGTAATGTAGCAAGGTTTCCTTGTGATACAAGCTGTAAGCAATTTGTTTTCTTATCAATTTCAGATTTGTTTTTCAATTAAAAGGATTTGAAAAAAAGGAAAAAGAAAGAAAAAAAACCTGACAACATCGCAACGCACCTATCATCTAAAGGGAAATAAAGTAATATCATAGAACACATAAGATGACAGTCTGACTCTAAAAAGGGACAGATGACTAAAAACCAATGTTAGCATATCATGTGATGGAAATGAGTATACAAATTATCCTGTATGACATTGAGTAACTCACAACATCTCACACCAATCATCGATACTGAACCAGCTAAAGCAAGTGGTTATGATTCAATCTACCAACACACTTCTTTAATGTAGAAAATTTTACCATGGATTAAACGTGATGTTCTTAACCTTCCTCTTTGGAAGCTTGGATTAAATCTTATTTTTTTTAAACATCATACCTGCACATTCACATCCGGCCTTACAGCTAGAGCACGGGCATGCGTCACTGCACCTGCAGGAATCGCCACATTCACAAGCGAGCCCAATTTTACAAATTCCATCAGGACAGGTCGCACTCTTTGCCGCTTAATTACAAATACAATGACACCATTAACATATATAGATCAGCTGTAGATTCATCTATTTATATCAACACAACTCGTTCCTGATCCTGTTTTAATATGATAGTTAAAAAATACGAAAGAATCGAAGAATTAAGATACTATAAGCATTGTAATATGTTACATCAGTAAGCAATATCTTTATCAAACATTACTTAATATCAAACTTTTCATGCCACCTCAGTTTGGGTCAACGGATGAACTTTAGATTTGAGTTTTTCTACAACTTACGGCAGCATGCGCAGTTGACCTTACATCCGGAGCATCTACAGCCAGAGGAACAGCAGTCCGATTCAGCACAGCAGGACCTACACCCTGAACACTTGGCACGGACTGTGGCATTGAGAAATATGAATTAATGAGAATATATGACTTCTGGTAACCCTACATTATAAAAAGACATTTTAGACATTTTGAAACCTCATTTTCTGAAATTTAGTAAATTGGGATTGAATTTCATACGCGGATGAACCATCCATATAATCAGTTATGTATTGAGGTTTTATAATTAACTTTGGTCCATTCACAAAGAACTATCAATAGGGAATACCAATAATATTTATGATATGCAGAAATCGGATTGATGAGAAAGCATTGGAAAATGAACTCTTAAACTATAAGTTACAGTATATTTGACGACATCTTTTTTATTATTTAGGAAATCTTGAATAACTTATTTCAAAAGTTTCTCACAAATGTGAATTTTGGAGATATATTGAGATAGAACAAAATCTCTATGGTTTGTAGTTAAACGGGAAAATCGATATAGAAAAAATAGGGATGTCTACAACCACTATCTAAAAGTCCGTGCTACAACAGAACAAAGACTTGAGCGTTGCCTTTGAAGAAACAAGGTTAAAAAGATGGAAAAGAATGACACTGTAGGATAAATTGGAGGCTGCAAGAATCAGAACGAGGTAAAATAGTAACAGAGGAACAAAATTCTTAAGGAAAATAATGTCATTATGATATTAAATGTGGAGTTTGTAGGTACAACTCTGTCTTAGAAACAATAAAAAGAACACCTGCTACTTAATGTACAATCTGAAGTGAATGAAATAAACCAAGCAACAAATAAAATATCTCAATAGTAAATCAGAGAAGCTATCACAAATCTGACAGAAGATATCTCTAGTATTAGACTGAATAGCAGCAAAATTTGATAAAATATTCTGGAATATTGTAGCATGAGATAAATATATATGTTTTAAGAAAAAACAAAACATCAAATAGGAAGCCATTTACACTATCAACTACTGGGTGCAACATAGCCACCAAAGTAATAACTAAAAACCCATGACATCAAACAGAAAACATACATATCAGCGGGGTCTATCAAGGGAAGTCTATTGCTATGTAGATTCTAAGACGATGATGTATTTCTAGGGAAAGTTAGATAAGGTCACACCAGCTCCAATAGTCATGAAAAATACCGTTTAGTTACTTACCACATGCGCACTTCACCTTACATCCGGTACATCTACAGCCAGTGGTACAGCAATCCGCACCAGTGCAACAGCACTTACCCCCTGGACACTTGGCACAGGCTGTGGATGTAAGGATTTGAATATATGTTCCTACATTATAAATGTTCTCTATGTAGCTACTGATTTCTGTAACACCTAATTAAAAATGCTGTAAGAGCCCTAAAAAGCGAAATATATTGAAGTAGGATCGAATTCACTACATAGATTAACGAACCATTTGTACATTTTTTTTTCTCTCCTTTTTTCAAATATAATAACTAAATGAATAATAACCGTTTCAGTGTTAGCCTCAATTGTAAATACCATTATTGACATTTTTCCATTGATAGAAGGCAATAAAAATGGAACATTAATTAGATCTGCGAAAATATATAAAGACATCTTTATGTATTTCTTGAGGGGTCGAGGTTGGAATAGGGTGAGGGTGGGCTGGGACAAGTCATTACAGAAGTTTGATAATGATGTGATAAAATATATTCAATATTCGAAAATGTTTGAACCTTGTAGTTAAACGGGAAACGGGATTAAATAGGCTTAAACAGGAATAGGGTATACATTATATAGAGAATGAATTCGAGGCAGCAATGTTTAAATCAAATCATTGCAAAATGTCGTTCAGGATCTTACCCGATGCGCAGTTGCATCCGCTTTTTGAGCAGGCACACTTGCAGTTGCACTTGCAGAGATTGGTTCCGCAACATTTCCTTGCCTGGCACGCAGTGGAACACACAAAGCTTGCACCTGACAAGAAGGAATGAGAAAGAATATCAGCATGGGGTAGAACTGATATATTTATCGCTCAATGTACAGAAAATGAAAACATTATCAATCAGAAATGTCACAGTAATTTAAATGTAGACAATTTAAACAAAGATTAAGCGTACTCTTTATAGCTAATGTGTTTCGAGACTATGATAAAATGACAAAAGTATTAAACAAATTACCTGCACATTTACATCCGGCTTTACAGCCAGGGCACTGGCATGCGTCACTGCACGTGCAGGAGTCGCCACATTCACATGCAAGCCCTATCTGACACACGCCATCAGGACAAGTAGCACTCTTTTTCGCTGGATACAAAATAAAGATAGGCATAATATTATATCTGTCTATACTGTACATTCAGTTAATTTATGATTAGAAAAGTTCAGGTTATATAATGATGTAACCTACCCCTGCCACAACCATTCCATAACCATCCTTGACACATTGAGAAAGGAGCAGTAACATGTGTAGTTTACCATATTCTCACAAAATGACAGACTTGTCTCAGGAAACGAAGGCCAATGAAGCGTGAAATAAGAATTTCGTTTTGTGACAATGGCAGTTTGTCATGATGTTATCATTTCGTTTATATAACATTTTTAAATATCAAAGATATCGAAGAGTCCATGTAATTCTATTTCCTTTTATTAATCAGTATTTAACTTTAGTTGCATTTAAACTTACAGAAACAGGCGCAGTTGACTTTACATCCGGGGCATCTGCAGTTGGTACTACAGCAGTCCACACCAGAACAGTCGCACTCACCCCCAGAACACTTGGCGCAGATTGCAGCTGTAGGGGTTGTACATTAAGATCAAACATATCATTTTTGTCTCTGCAGTGAGTTCTGCTAGCACTGCCTAGATCAAACTTTGTTAGACCTTTTTAACAATATACATATATTTCTGATAATAACTGGTATTTTTCATGAAAAATTGTGCTTTTGTCTATTCTATAAATAATAATAAATTCGTTAAAATATGTAATAAATCGTATGACAACAAATTAGAATAGCGTTATGAATAATTATATCAAGACTTTTATACGAAATATCTCACTTGAATGAGAATTAATGTAAAAAGCAATTCACAGAAAAATCAATGTTGAAAGTAACATATATGGAATTCCATTTGATTAGATACACTGAGGACATGTGATGGGTGGTTCAGGAGTCGGTCTAATCGCGTTGCATACAATAGTTTGATGAGGAATAACACACCCACTCCCCACCAAAAATCGAATAAATGAACACAATTAAATTCAATAATTAAAAAATGATTATGATAAATAATCAGATTAACTTAGTGAATATCAAGACATTTGTGGTCCTAGAGATATATGTTCATAGATAACTATCAGTTATTTTTAGAAAACAATTATAAATTGTCCGGCCCTTAAATTGGCTACTCATAAAATAAGCCACATACCTTCAGTCTTTGACATCTCGGACATCGCGTCTATAGCTTTTCTTGAAATCTTCTCAGAATGACTTGACTAAGAGATCTTCAGCGAATAACGAGTCGTAAAATGTGACTCTATTTATAGGAAATGTGACTCCGCGTGTGCAAACCCCTTTCGTGTGTATTACAGATAGTAAACATTAATAACTAAGGTCTTGTGCAAAATATACGTGAAGGTGGTGTGAGTAAACCCAGGGACCGTGTGGAAACTGAATGGATCATGAGACGGGAATTTGCACACGACATGTGGTTGATTACGTTTATGTAGCATATTTTTATCGCTAAGAGAATTATACATTCAGCCTCCTGATAACAGAGGTGTGCCTACACATATCATGTAAATCGTATATTCAAGAATGTTGTTTCTTGATACGCACTGTTTATAAGGTAACATTCTTGTTTAGCCGCTTAAACTGTAACACACTTTGAACATGTTCAAACATTATCGAAATGCATATAGCTGTGTGTCACAATTTTCGTCACATATTTGTTATTTTGTATTCATTGGTTTTTAGCATGTAAGTACATAATAGTTTGTATATTATATTAGACATTTGTGGTTTAGAATATCATCAGTATTGATAAAATATGACTCTACTCACTATTATTTTTGCATATATGTGTAAAAAAAAACTGCAGAAAATATATTGCGTTAGATTTTTTAATTATTTTTTTTTAACTTTTTATGTGCGGACTGGATATGATGTTGATTGACAAATACTAACAATTTCTTTGTCTTATATTACCTTTTTATAAAAACAAACATGTGTTTGTCATCTAAAATAGCACAGCAATACATATTTCTTCCCGAAATTGAGGATTAGATACGGCGAGAGGGTCCAGCATTTTATCAGTATGAATTAAATAAAATACAGACTTTTCAAGGTTTTATATTTTAATCGAACTTTATCACATTAAAAACTTCACGTCAACTTCCTTATGTTTGATATAACATATACACTAGGTTCGTGATATGAAGAGCCTATACTTAAAAGATAAAATATTTGATAAGGAAATCCGCCGCAAACCGGATTGTGGAAGAGATATTGTACACTAATGATGCGTAATATATATGAGAAATACTCCATGTGTCGTGATGTCATATGTAAGACCGTGTGCACAGATTTATATATTGTCTTGTGACTGGTGATATATATATATATATAGATTGTGTGCAATGAGTATCCGTGTGTAAATCCGTGTGCAGTTAAACCGTGTTCAGTAGGAGTGGTAATAGAGTTCATTGTGTTTATGATCCAAGTCGTGTGCACCAAGGGTTGATTCACATGCTCGTGACTTGCTGTGTACTGACCACAGAATACTGAAAATATAAACCGGGTTTCGCGTCTCCTATTTCATTGTATGTTTTACAATCCTTGATAATCCTGCAAATATTTCTAACATTCTACATATCAATTTCAATATTATTTAGTATCGTTTTTTTTATAATATTCTATCACTTACTATACAATTATAATCTTACCAAATATATAACTATCACTTATTATATAATACATAATGTTAAAATATAATTCTATCACTTATTATATAATACAAAATATTAAAATATAATTCTATCACTTATTATATAATACATAATGTTAAAATATAATTCTATCACTTATTATATAATACATAATATTAAAATATAATACTTTCACTTATTATATAATACATAATGTTACAATATAATACCATCACTTACTATATAATAACTAATGTTACAATATCATATACTTTCAGTCATTATATTACACATACTCTTATACTATAATTACTATAACTTACTATATAAATAATGTTAAAATTTAATGTACTACCAGTACTTAATGATATATAATGTAACACTATGATATGCTATCACTCACTATATGACACCTAATGTTACAATATACTATACTATAACTGACTATATAAATAATGTTACAATATAACATACTATCAGTACTAAATGATATATAATGTTACAATATAATACTACTACAACATATATAATAAACAATGCATGTTAAACGACGTACAGTTTTTACGCAAAAATACTGAAAAAAATAAAACATTAAGTTAAGTTTAGCTTCAATATTGTTTTCTTTACTTTATAAACGATGCACTTAACAATCAAGAAGTATATAAATAGGAAACATACATATAGACACACAATCCTATGTAAATACATAATACCGTGATCGTCGTTATCGTCTCTAGCTATAACAATGCTATTAACGAAATAGGCGTAAATATAGAAACGAGGTTCGTCCGTCCGTCCGTCCACTAGAACATAAAAAAATAAGAAAATACATTAAGTCAAAAACTGGGTAAATTTAAGTTCTAAATAGATTAAAAATGTATCAATGATGCAACTAGAGTCGCTCTGCTGAACACATGCTATAAATGCTGAAATTGACCTACATTTTACGCTTCATTGACTGTGGAGAAGAAATGGGCTAACTACAAATGTAATGTATTAGAGTGTAAAAATGTCTGCACAAATTATGTTTTTCAAATTATTGTTGTAAGCTAAATATAATTGTCCGTTACAGTATCAGTTGGTAGCTCATTTAAAAAAATACTATGGGCATATTGACGGCAGAGTATTCTTGGATTAATATTGAGCAACACCGTTGCTGAAGATTTCACGTAGTTGTGTCAACATGTGTGGTTCAAGACTGAAAGGTGCTGCCAAGTTGAAATGGTTTCTATATTGAAGTAGATTTTGGATGTGCATATAAAAAAATCCAGTTGGACTGTCCATCCAGTATGTTTTAGGAGATTACTTGCATTTTACACTTGCAGCCTGCAGCACACTTGCATGTGATTTGTCCGCTACAGCCAACTCCACACTGGCAGGTCCTTGTATTGTCTGATAGTTATATTTCATAATTTTCACCGTTATATATATAGGTATCATAAGTAAGAACGACAGTATGATCCAATATTGGCACTAGATTCGAACAACGTAAATAGATATTTAAGCAAAGAAGTAATATCGTTAGTACAGAGAAAGGAATTTGTCAAATTTTCGAGGTAATCCGCCTCTTTTTCAAGATAGAAACATGAACACTTACATAGCACAACATATAACAAAGCGGTAAACAGTAACTTTTAAACAATACTAAAGCATAACATATGATAAACAGAAAACCAGTTGAACATTATTGTATTAAACCATTTGAATTCATGTTTTCAAAATGAATTGATTATGCTTTTAATTAGCATTAGGCTACATGCTAGCCGAAGGGATGACATCATCCTGTTACAGAAGTGAAAAGTGGTTTTCTCTTAACCCTTTCACCACTGAAGACAAAATGGACCCATACATATCACTACATGGTAGAGTCTATTAAAGTTACATAGGGGTGAAAGGGTTAATGTATTTGATGTTTAAGTATTGTTTCATAGTGGCTGATCTTCTCTCTGTTATATGTAAGTTCGTGTTTCTCTCTTGATAAAGGGATGGATTGCCTCGAAACAATGTCCCTTTTCTGCACTTTCCTCTTTATTGATAAGTACACATTGGTATTTTATTAATTTTTGTTAAAGAAAACAGTTATTTCATATCAATACATATAGTTTATTTAAAGTAAAAATACATGCATTGTAGAACTATGATAGTTTGTGTTATTGTACAAACAAGGCAATTCTAAGTGAGATCGCACCAGCTTTTAAATTGAACAATATAGTGAGGCGTTTCAATTACGGTACAAAGTGTCTTCCTATTTCTCAAATATTGCAACTGCACTTTGGAGATGTGCAGTTCTGCGATATTGCCCTGGCTGGCAGTCAACAGTACATACAAAATTGGCGCCATGCACATAACAGGTGAGAACGAATGGAAGCACGTCAGGTGTAAAACATTTCACGGCCCTAGCATGGCCAGTTTTATATTTTCGTGTAAGTGTTTTATGTAGCAAAAGTCAACAACTAAACATAACCGCGCAGAATTAAATCCCATTTCTATTTTTATTTATTTGCAAATCTAAAGAATTGAAAAAATCTAAAGTAAATGCAAAATCTAAAAAACTAGTTATAGGAGAAGGATTAACAAGTCAAGGTTAATCTGATTGTACATTTATAGGTTCTGGTCGTGATTTGATGTTTACAAATGCATCAGTAACATAAGCTAATTCCACACTTGTCATATGACCTTGTGTCATAATCTTACAACCATCAAAGATTTTCAAACAAATTGAAAAAAAAGTCATACAAGGCAAGTCACATGACACAATAGATTGCTTCAATCTCAAACGATTATTCGTAAATGAGATACATTTACATCATAGCACGCCCGTTATCTTCAGGTAACTAGAGTACCATCCCATCCCATCCTCTTCAGTTTAACAGAGTATCACCAAAGCACACACATACTTTAAAGGTAAACAAAGTAGATTATCAAAGATGTAAGTCTTACACTATATAAATTCTTTCCATAGGTGGCTAGAGTGTTACAAGAATATTATAGAATTTTAGCTAAATATATTTTATAGATATTTTGTAAAGAAAAAACATAAGTAAATTAATTAAAGTGAGGTAACTCACGTTTGATGACTTACAATACAACACAGGACAAACAAACACAGACATAGACACACACACACAGACAAAACATAAATATAGTTATTAATTATCATAATTACACGCTCACACAGGAGTTACTATTTAACATTCAATACAGTTAGGTAGATAGACCAAAAGTCCATGTGCAGGTACTGCGCAGGTCATCACCACCTTAACTGTGTATTCATTTATTTATATGTAACTATTTCATCTATAGAATTAACCCGATACATTTATCAAAAGTATCAGTAAAACGTTGTGTAGAGAACCACAAAATGAATAAGTGAAATATATCTATTACATAATCAAGTAAATTCACAACCATGTTCAACCTTTTTCATAGAATATTTTTTTTGTCAATATAATGGCTTTCTAATCTGAAGCAGAGATATTTTTTTAAACCATATTGCATGCTTCAGAGTGTCACGGATACTACAACATTGACCATATATCTCGATGTCCTCAAAAGCTGAGAAACAACGGAGCAATCCATCTTATGTTGTCAGCGGAATTTCCGAAGTCGTCATCACGTAATGTTTACACATGCAGCCTGCAGTACAGAGTTCGGAACAGCCAAAGCAGCAAGTGCAGTTCAATAAGAAATGATACTATCTCATAGGGTGTTTCGTTATATGTTTCCAATATTGTGCACACTCCGTAATTTATTCGTAAATGATTTTAATTTATTTGAAGATCAGTAATTTTAATGTCGACATAAATCGTTTATTTAAAGTAATATAATTCTTCGGAGCAAATATGTACTGTAACAAATACTAGACGGTTTAAAAAAAATGTCGCATCAGCTTAAATCTTAGACTGACCCCCGTCTCTAGAATATCAAAAAGATATTTGATTATTTAGAGAAAAAAAAAAACTCTAATAAGTTTGATCACTTGGATGTCTGATCCTAAGTTCTAAACTAGGGGGTGATAAGCTAGTAGTAAAATGCAGCTGGGAAATTCTTCATTTAGAGGCTGGTACCAGTCTACTGAAATCTATAATAACAACAATATACGAAAGCATTTCAATTGCTTGTAGATGTCTTTCTATTTCAAATGAATCATTCATATATTCTATTATAACATCATACTATTCCTGTATAAACCGTTTGTAGTTGTACTTTAGATATGTACACTTTACGCTTCATAAGATGCTGTTAGTTCAGCAACATTGCATTGACTGTCATTCCTTAGACCATATGAATCTGGTACCTGAGACGTTAGAGATGAGAACAAACCAAGTAACAGGTAAGGTTATCAGATTTATCGCCCCTAACACAGTCCACATGAAATGTGGCAAGGTTCAGCGACGATACAGAGTTTAAGTTTTCATATATATTGTGTGAATAGTACCAATTGAAATACTCCGAAATTAAACATGTAAAGCCATTGACGGGGAAGGAAAATAATATCATGTTTTATAGTAAGGTGTATGAATGAGTAGAGATATGGCCGTACTTTGAGATAAATATGTAAATACCAAATATTCTTAATTACATTAAGATCGTTTTATGAGTTATGAATCAGGTTCGTACGATTATGCATACAGTGACATCATATGGCACACCCGGAATTCACTTGAAAAAAATCAGCATCATGTCACATCCCTCGTCCACTTATGCTCTTCTCAAGTTGTCTTTTAATTGTAAAATTGTCTCCCTTTGGGTGCTGCATATGTAAATTGATAACAAGAAGCAGACACACAAAAAAAGTACCATTGTATTGACGGAGTGGAATATTGGCAACCATTGTTCAAAGTACGTATGGTGTATATACTGATAGGGAGTTCAGAAACCTGTAAGATATAGCATTCTACATGTATTTATTTAGTATTTAAGTTTATACTTTTTACTTTATAATTAAAGTATTTAAGAAAAATGTCCAAAATGTTTCGTAAAGAAAAAACGAGGAGAATCTGTAAACATATACGGCATTAGTAAAACCGTTTGTTATAGTATAGATACATGTTCATTGACGAATAAAAATATGTTTGTTGAAGATAAAGTATGCTTATTTAGGAATAGAAATAAGTTACTTGAAGATCAGAAAAAAACGACATATAATTTACAACAACCACATCTATGAATAATACATTAACACGTGTCACGATGCACAGTGATTGGGCTTGGATATAAGAAAAATCATAAAACGTTGAGTTTAGATTGTGTCCTTATGTAGTGACGCGATGCTATATTCCTTACGATGGCATATTTTGAAATTTAGGATTATAGGGGTAGATTATTATATTGATTTGGGTACATGTATAATATAAATCCAAAAAGAAGTGATCAGTTTGAAAGTTTAAAGTTTTAAGTTGAAACAATTAATCTGAAAAGTAGGGATGATGTAAGAATAATAATACCGCTTATATTGCGACCGTATTGCAGTATTTAGTAGAGAACGCATTTAAGCGACTTATTTGCTAGTGACTTAAGTGTTATGCTCTGCAATGTTGTGATAAATGTATAAAGGCTGTTTCGCAATCATTGCTTAAATATCCAATAATTAAATAGTGTTTTTATCTTTCACAAAAAGATTACATTTCATGTTAACATCTGTTTTGTGACAACATTTTCATTTTGTTTTTACTAGAGATCCTATTTTCGTCAGCTAATGAAAACATAAGCTTGTAATATAACAATAAACAATGTGACCGAGGTCCCTATTCCTGGTGCATCCGCCAGGAGTCGAACCCTGGACCACAGTATATAAATATCACATTCATGAGAGGGCGATATTGCATATTTTCACCCCAAGGAAGCATTGTTAACCGAGGCGAAGCCGAGGTCAACAATGCTTTCCGAGGGGTGAAAATATGCAATTTCGCCCTCTCATGAATGTGATTTTTATTTTATTATACCGAATGTTATGTTTAGGTGTTTCACCACTTCACCATTTTTAAAGGTCGACAAACGATTCAGAAAAGTTTTCACTGGGATGAACCAGGGGCGCATACATTCGGCGCATGTAACAATTTTTGGAATAACACCCTGGCACTGGGACGAACCGTGCACGCGTACGCTTGGCGCATGTGATATTTTTTGGAATAACATCATGGCACTGGGACGAACCGTGCACGCATACGTTTGGCGCATGTGATATTTTTTGGAATGTCACCCTGTCTTCTTTATCTTTGTAAAACGAGCAAGTAACATTGAAAATGTTCACATCTTTCTCAACCAATCAGATTACGAGATTTTAACAGAAGGTATAATAAATTGTATTATCGGTTCTACAGATAACTGATCTCCGCGATGAGTCGTGCTCGGCTCTACATATCATTAGACCTGGCCTCTGCTAGTTGGATTTAAACCTGGTAGTAGCGATTAGTGTAATTTACCTCCGCTACTTATCAAAGTTGCAAACAAGTTTATTATATCTGCACCGACGACTTGCTTCCTGAAGACTTGCATTCAAAAACTTATTTTCGTATTTCTAAATTTAGTGTCCAAATATTGTAAGTGTAACCATTATATACTTTAATAAAACAAAAGAAGCTAGCAGTATTTCTGCTTAGACCGGGTTGGGTAAGTAGTAGAGTGCAAAGCGGAAATGAAGGCATTTAAAAGCTTTTACGTCACAACAATACCCTGACATGGCGCGCTAAATATATTTTTAACTATAAACAGTATTGATAAATATCAGATATCATAACAAACAGTTTATATATTACTTGTTTTCAATAATTAACTCATCGTTATTTCGATGTAATGAGTGATCCTGCATACACTTTTATTTTATTTGAAAAAATACTCTTACATATTCATAAGCTAGTTACTAGATATGATTAGCATGGGCTTAGCCTGCAATCTGATGTATATGTTCCCGAAGAAAACCTGGTATTGCATATCACTATAGAAAGTTGTAGATCCTACGTTGTCGTGTGTTTCGTGTTTTATGAAAAAGTTTGCGAAGTCTAAGATGGCGGTGTGTGGTTGCGTCCTTACGCAAGACTAATGTTCAACAAGCCCCCGAAAAGATGTATTGCCTTCAAAATGTCCAACCCCCTTATATTTAAAGACCCCAATTACCCTTCGGAATTCAGATGTGTAATTTGGATATATTCAATTGTAATTAGTTATTAAAACGGTATACAGCGACATTTACCTCGTCTGCGAGCAGGCATTAAGGCCGATGTCTTCATAAAATGTATAAAGCCAACTGATATTAGATAACATGTTAATCTCTTTTGCGACCCAATGGAATGCCACGTAATGAGATATTATCAGAAGTTCATTGTTGTACCAAGGTCATGCAGAATTTAGTTTATCTTTTATTAGCATTTTATACTGGATTCAATCTAAGATGGTCGTGGGTTTGAGAAACTACAAAGTAACATAGTAAAATGTTATGATAACATATTTTACTGGTATAAAAAATGCATTTAACAAAGGACCGCGAGACCTTGATGAATAAATGAACTTTATATAAAGCGTCTTTTCGTAACATTTAGCGGTTTTTTTTTAAATAGACATGTTATATACAGCATAGCACTTTTCATTTACACCGTTGATATACATGTCTAGTTTATTTGTAACACAATATAACGCTATGAAATGGTATATGATATAAAAAAAAATAATAAAAAAAAATTATTCACTAAGCTTTGTTCACAATCTTTTACAATATATCAAGGAGGAATTTTACTGGTTTCACACGGCCATATCCATCTTTATTGGTAGGTAATTTGCTTTTCAGCAGCTATTAAAAGAGAAATTATCTTCCGGATGACTTAAAAATATAAATATAATTTCGCAGCATTTAGTTGGGTGTGAACGGATATTTTATTAAAACAGCATTAAAGACTCGTTATTGACAAAGTTAACGTCGCTATACAACGTTTTAAAAACTGATGTACAAGTTAAATGTATCTAAATTGATTCTCAGAATCTTATGATTAATTGGGTCTTTTACACATATGACATTTCAGGGGATTTAATTTTTGGGTGACATACCATCTTCTATGAGCCTTGTTGAAACTCAATCTTGTTGCCCAACACTATCTGCCAAGACTATAGCTAGTAACATATACTGGTACATGTGTACTACAGTTTTTGTGCTGTAGTATTTCCGTGACGTAGAACTTTTATTATTACATAATACATTTCATATCTAGAGTAAGAAATACTGTTATCAGAACGTTTGAGGCTGTAGCAACCACGTGTACGCTTCGATACCGATGGTGGCGCTGAGGCTTAAGCACGTGGACTTTACATGCATGTTGTTGTTATTACGAGTCAAAGGATTGGTACATTGATAGCAGAATGAAAAACAACAAAATGAAACAAATAAATAGAAATCTTGATTTATTTGCAAAAATTTGCATTTTAAAAAAGCTTAATACAAAAACAAAACAATACTTGAATAATACTACCTACTAATACAATCAACAGTAAATAGAGAGAGCTGTCAATAATAATCACACAAAGTGTTTGGGTAACACATAGCAAGCTTGAACAGCTATCAATTGAAAAATATCCGCAAACAGCGAAGAAACACTGGAACAGTCCATCCAACACAGTCTGCAGATTTCCAAAGACGTCATCGCTTACTTTTTACACGTGCAACTTGCACCACACTTGCATGTGTTTGGTCCAGTACAGCCCACACCGCACGTGCAAGTCCCTGAAATGTCAGTTATGTTAATATTTCACAATGTGTTCCATGATATTTTTCTAAAATTGTGTACAATTGGTCGATGTCGATTTAAGTAGTGTATCTGAAGGGTTTTTTTAGCCCAAAGAGAAAATATGAAATAGAATCAAGATCGCACAAACTTCAAAACTGAACACAATTTACATAGGCACTTCAAATGTTCTACACACTAACAGTTATTTTAATAAATGTATTCTATACCATAATAACTCCTTTCCACTCAATCCTGCTAAACGCGTGTCTCACTAATGAACAAACAATTGTTTAGATACTTACCAGATGCGCAGTTGCACCTGCATTTTGGGCATGCACACTCCCCGTCGCACTTGCAGTCTTTGGTTCCGCAGCATTTCCCTGACTGACAATTTTCGGAGCACACGAAGTTGGCGCCTGAACCAGAAGGAAAGAGAACGAACGTAAGCACCGTGTAAGCCATATAGTGTCCCATTTATCCTAAACTTTCTTTTTTATTCATCATAGTGTCTCAATGTACAGCCGATAAAAAGTAGCAAAAACATCTCTAAAGACATTTATTGATCACCTCGTATCCAGGTAAAGTGTCAATCAAATGTAGACAACGTAAGTGTAGAATAAGCGTGTTATTTATAACGTTCATGTGTGGAAAACTTGTTTGCATTTACAACGAAGTTAAACACATTACCTCCACATTTACATCCGGCCTTGCAATTAGGACACGTGCATGCGTCGCTGCACTTGCAGGAGTCGCCACATCCACATGCAACTCCCATCTGACAAACTCCATCGGGACATGTCGCACTCTTCCCAGCTTAATTGGAAAAATAATGCACCCCATTCATTTACTTGACTTCACGGTACATATAACCAATTAACATGAAGATAATGTCCCTATCCACTATTATTGTTAATATGACGTAGGACAAATAATATGTGCATGCTTCTTCTACGTGCAAAGACATGTCATTACAGATGGATGTAATACAATTAAACCATCAATGATATATCTCATTCTCATTGTATGACCGACTTGTCCTTTCCATTGGCATAATGTAGAATTAGAACTTGATATTGTGAAAATCATAATAAATGTCATACTGTTAACATTACATGCATAAAACTATATTATGTTAACATTTCATGCTACTTCAGATTGGTTTTACATATGAGATTTTTTTTCTAAATTTAAGTCGTTTCAAAACTTACAAAAGCACGCGCAGTTGACCTTACATCCTGAGCATCTGCAGTCGGCGGTACAGCAATCCGCACCGGTGCAACCGCACTTACCCCCTGGACATTTGGTGCAAAACTTGGCTGTTGGGAATGCAATAAAAGATCCATACATATTAAATTCTGTGTGCTAGATTGATTGCTGGTAACACTTCATTTATATAAGTTTGTAAGTAACAGATATTGGATCAGTCTTAAATTCCTTCATAGGACTGTGTAAACTGGACCTGCATTATAGTAGTGGTTGAACAAACTACTTGTACGACTGGTTTATTTCATACACAATAATATGTTTGGAGTGTTTACAGTTTAAAATAGTGTTTCTGACATGTTCTGTAATTAACCCAGAATTAACAAGAGTATGTTAGATAACAGATAACATGCTCCTCAAATAATCTACTGTGTGTCTGAATTCTGGACTCATTCGGTTGACAACCGTCTAAAATGTCAATAAATTGGAATTATTGATTCTATTCTGAAAATAGTTTCCCTTTTAATTCTCAAAGGTGATTGTTATTCGATTCTGGTATATTTACAATCAAATAGCAAAACCGCCAATTTACAGATAGATCAAGACTTAAGTGATCTCAAAAATGTGTTCATTGATAAATACCCTCATGCTTCAAACAAAATAAATTAAGGAGTAAATAAATTAATGAATGATAATGAGGGATCCGAGTATTACATTAAATTCTGTAAAGGGGAGAAAATGGTTAGAATTTATTTAAACAAGTGTGATTTGGTTTAATTATGTCATGTAACAAAAGGCAGGTGATTAAAGATGGTACATATCCATTTACAAAGGACCTTGTGTGTTATAGTGATAATAAATGTCTTCATACACAACGAGAACAAAGAGAATAGCGATGGGTAAACAGAACGGTAGAACACTATAGCATCGACATAGGAAAATTGATAAAAAAATTTTTTTTATTACATACAAATGAATTTATCTCATTACAATGTATAAACATGCTTAAACATAGATTTTTTCCAAAACTGAATCATTCGACTTTTCAATCAGTTAGTAATACATTAAACCACTTACCTGCGGCAGTAGACATCTTGGCTTCAATCGAATATTTAGAAATCTTCACAGAACGACTTTATTGATCGGTCTTCAGCGTATACCCAGATGTAAAATGTGACTCTATATTTATACGAAATGAACATTGCGTGTGCAAACCATAATCGTGTGCATGAAAGATAATAAACGTGAATTACTAGGGCCGTGTGCAAAATGTATGTGAAAGCAATCGTAAGCAAAACTATAGGACCGTGTGCAAATTATGAGGATCAATGTCCGCGACACGTGGTTGATAATTTGTTTCTCTCTAGATACCAGGGTTAGAATGCCCTTATAACGTAGATCATATCTAGATTGTTGTACACAGATAAGAGCTATTTACCTGGTATACACTGTTATCCCATAGACTAGTAACATGTCGTTCACCTGCATGTCCGAATTCATAAGCAATGCAAAATCTCGAAAGCAGATGAAATCGACCTAAGCTTAATAACATAGATATAATATTGTGTATACAATTGTGTCACATATCCTATACTGATTGTCGATTTTCGATAAACAGTATGCATATTATTTTCAGATATTTAATTAAAAAGATATATGAAAGGATATGTATATATACTAGTGACTGTAATTGATCCATGATCAAGTGTGTTTTTTTTATCAGTATCTAGATCTTTACATATGGTTTTGCATGCGGGCGTGTGGGTAAGTGTATGCATATGTACTTATGTATGCATCTTACTTGTTGTGATTCTGCATTTAGTAGATTTATCGAAAGTGACATGTCAATTCTCTGCTGTTTGATATAATGCATATACTATACATGTTACGCTTATGACCTGATACATCATGCAGATAATAACTGGCCTGTCAGTTTTTGTGCAACAAATGTACAATAATATGTTGAATAAACCGTGTGCAGAGGTGTATTTATGGTTCCGTGTGCAGTTATGTATTTATAGTTCCGTGTGCAGTTATGTATTTATAGATCCGTGTGCAGAGATGTATTTAAAGATCCGTGTGCAGTGGCTGCATGTAAAACCGTGTGCAACAGAAGTGTGAGTAGAGTTGAATGCGTTCATAGTCCAAGTCGAGTGCACAATATGCTGATTCACATGATCGTGGCCTTCTATAAGTGCACTGACCACTGTATACCACTTTATCGATATGATGATGTTTACGAAGAATAATTCATGTCATCATATATAAAAAGGATTATTTCTGTATTTTGAGAAAATACTTGTTAAGATTTTTATCTGTGTTTACAATCACACAAAAGTATCATACGGCCATTCAATGGCTGAATCAGGAAGTCTTTTGGTTGTTTATTATACTGTTTGGTTGTGTGTCGTATTACTTATATATATACCGTGTACTGGGCTTGTCAATTACATTGTAAACTAAGTGTAATATCACCATTAAATATGTAATTTACTATCACTTACTATCTAGTATTCTTATAAATGCTAAAATTAGAATATAAGGCTGAGCTAGGTTTTTTTTCTAGTTTTACTTTGCTAATAGATAATAAATAATATTTAAACATTATTCAGAGACCCTCAACACAAGTTGCACTCGACGTCGAGCTCGTTCAGAGATATCTCAGAGATATGGTATAGGCAGGATATGTGGAGCTTGGTACAGCTATACATATCTTAAATATCTACCCAGTTCAAAGGAATGAGGAACGTGATAAACCCAAATTAAGTAAACACACAAAAGAAGTCCCTGTCTGTTTTCCTCTAAGAGGTGACGATTACACACTTCCTGGTCCAAATGACTTCCTTGTTTGATTTCAACTAGCAAGTACGTTGTACAATAGGTGCAAGAACATTTGTCAAGTGAGGCTACAAGGTGCTTGACCGAACTCGTCAAACTAACCGGGCGCCTGCTGCTTAATGTAAAACTAACATATGGAGGAAACACATGCAAGTATGACAAGTAATTCTAATTATGTAAGTTTTACCTTTCAGCTGTAATGGTTAAACATAAAAACAATAGCAGTATTTAATGATTTTAATAAGATACATGTTTTACGTCAAAAATAAGAGCAAAATGTTATGCCATGAATTTTATCACCTAGATAACTCAATGTATTTGAATTTACAAAATACAATTGATGAAATTTAAGTGTACGTACATGTGACTTCTAGTTGATTTCCTCTTCAGATATATAATGGACGAAAAGCATGTAAAAACTTACAAAAACAGAAAATTGTTGTAAATTCATTTAACATCTGTCAGCAGCAGTTACAGAAGAAAAACAGCAACAAACGAAAACAGTTGTAGCTAAAAAAAACACCTACAAAAGTTAACAAGGTAACACTACAACAAAACAATCGACAACAGTTATATGTGAGGAGACACCGAAACGACGACTATAGTTGTAAATGAGGAGACATTGCAGTAAACAACAATCGAAGCAAAGAAACATTGCAGCAAACGACAACAGTTGTAAGTGAAGAGAAATTGCAGAAAAGAACTATAGTTGTAAGTGAGGAGACATTGCAGTTCACGAAAACAGTTAAACGATAAGATACATTGTAGTAAACGACAACAGTTGTAAGTGAAGAGAAATTGCAGTAAACGACTATAGTTGTAAGTAAGGAGACATTGCAGTACACGACAAAATTTGTAAGATAAGAGACATTGCAGTAAACTACAACAGTTGTAGCTAAAAAAAAAACTACAAAAAACAAAAGTTAACAAGGTAACACTACAACAAAACAATCGACAACAGTTATATGTGAGGAGACACCGAAACGACGACTATAGTTGTAAATGAGGAGACATTGCAGAAAACGACAACAGTTGTTATTGAAGAGACATTGCAGTAAAGGACTATAGTTGTAAATAAGGAGACATTGCAGTACACGAAAACATTTGAACGATAAGATACATTGTAGTAAATGACAATAGTTGTAAGTGAAGAAACATTGCAGCAAACGACAACAGTTGTAAGTGAAGAGAAATTGCAGTAAACGACAACAGTTGTAAGTGAAGAAACATTGCAGAAAACGACAACAGTTGTTAGTGAAGAGACATTGCAGTAAAGGACTATAGTTGTAAATGAGGAGACATTGCAGTTCACGAAAACAGTTGAACGATAAGACCCATTGTAGTAAACGACAACAGTTGTAAGTGAAGAGAAATTGCAGTAAAGGACAATAGTTGTAAGTGAGGAAACATTGCAGTACACGACAAAATTTGTAAGATAAGAGACATTGCAGTAAACGACAACAGTTGTAAGATAAGAGACATAGCAGTAAACGACAACAATTGTAAGATAAAAGACATAGCAGTAAACGACAACAATTGTAAGATAAAAGACATAGCAGTAAACGACAACAGTTGTAACATAAGATACATGGCAGTAAACGACAACAGTTGTAAGATAATATACATGGCAGTAAACGACAACAGTTGTAAGATGATATACATGGCAGTGAACGACAACAGTTGTAAGATNCACAGTTTTAAGATAAGAGACATTGCAGTAAACAACAACAGTTGTAAGATAAGAGACATTTTAGTAAACGACTACAATAGTACGATAAGATACATTGCAGTAACCGACAAAAGTTGTATGTGGGAAGACATTGCAGAAAACGATCATAGTCGTAAGATAAGAGACATTACGGTGAACGGCTACAGTTGTATGTGAGGAGACATTGCAGTAAACGACAAGAGTTGTAAGTGAGGAGACATTACAACAAATGACAACAATTGTAAGATAAGAGACATTGCAGTAAACGACAACAGCTGTAAGCGAAGAAACATTGCAGCAAACGACTATAGTCGTAAGATAAGAGACATTGCGGAAAACGACTACCGGTGTAAGATATGAGACATAGCAGACAACGACAGCAGTTGTAAGGGAGGAGATATTGCAGTAAACGACAACACATGTATGCGGAAAGATATTCCAGTAAACGACAACAGTTGTAAGATAAGAGATATTGCAGTAAACGACAACAGTCGTACGATAAGGATATCGCTGTAAACGACAATAGTTGAAAGTGATGAGACATTGCAGTAAACGACTACAGTTGTAAGATAAGAGACATTGCTGTAAACGACAACAGTTGTAAGTGAGGAGACATTGCAATAAAACAACTACAGTTGTAAGATAAGAGACATTGCAGTAAACGACAACAGTTTTACGAAAAGAAACATTGCAGTAAACGACAACAGTTTTACGAAAAGAAACATTGCAGTAAAAGACAACAGTTTTACGAAAAGAGACATTGCAGTAAACGACAACAGTTTTACGAAAAGAGACATTGCAGTAAA